TAACCTATTAACTGAAGTGCACAGTTCTCATTAACAGCTACATCTTTAAACTGGGTGTAAAGGTGAAATGCAAAAATTACAGATACAACTAAATACTTAATGCTGTGCATATTTTCATGACAAAAAAGACTTTCTAGCCTCAGAATCCATTAATATTTTAAACTAAAAATTCAGCCACCTAAAACACGCAGCAAAAGAAACAAGGTAAAGGTAGAATCCTTAAGCTTTAATTTAAGATGAATGCAATGGATTTCAAATTAGAGATGTTAAGCCGGTCATACGTGACAAGCTTTGGAATATTTTCTTTTGGTCACACTGCTTGATGGTTCTTTTCATCCTTTGTTACATTAGGCTCTTTTTTATAATGACACTGAGAGTCACAGTGCATAATTAATAGGAAATGAAATATTCAAATGGCCTCTAATGCAGCCCCAGTGAAATGCCATTGAAATAAAAAGGCTAGGGAAGTGTGGAGACATCAGGAATGGGTATGAATGTTGGCATGTGTCACTTTTTAAAACCTCAGATAATGCAAGCATAAAAAGCATGCTAGCACACAGCAAGCAAAAACAACAGGCTAACATTAAAACACATTTTTATGGCACAGTAGTTATTATTATTGAATTGTAAAATGGGTAGCTTAACCAATTCTGTTTTTCACACATTATATTGTTGAGTCATCAAAAATCTAGTATAATCATTTACATCAAGTTCTGCAAATTAAATGCAGATGTGGCAGTGTGTTTAAACAACATCGTATTCCACAGGATGGGGTACATAAGCAGACCAGTGTCATCTTTAAAATAACTAACACACACACACACACAGCAAAATGAGGAAGTTTCGGATTTGTTAGTCTAAATTAGCTTACTGGATTATATTTTGAGTTAATCTAATACTACTTTTGGGTCAAAATAATTAACAGGAAGCATTTCTAACTATTTATTACCAGGAGAATATTTTAGCTTTTTACAACAGCCTTGGTCAGAGATTCTGGGCACATTTCAAACTAACATCTCATGACAGCTTTTCAGAAACTTGCACTGCTTTAAACAACTCCAAACATCCTTCAAGACACAGGCTTGAATTTAAACTTCTGTGTCAGAGCATACACCAGCTCTCATTTTTTCACCCTATGAACGAAATACACAAACACAGTACACACAAAAACACATGAAGAAAGCTAAGGTTAAAGAAGCAGTAAATCAAATACTTCTTCTTGAACTAAAACAGTCCATTTTGACAGCTGATTTTCTTTCTTTGAAAGCATGCAGCACACGTAAAATAAATACTTGTACAGGTGGCAAAAAAAAATCTTCAATATCCTGGATTGTGTTAAAAAAAAAAGATCCTGTTGGATTTATATTTGTTTAATAAGAGATTTCCTGGATGGATAATATCCACACAAACAATTAGATGTAGGGGAAAAACAGCACTTATTTAAAATTTGGATTATGAGTAGCATTTTTATAAAGGACTGGACAGAAAATGGAGTTTCAAAAAGCCAACAAATCAATTTTCCTTAAACAACAATGTCCATATTTGTATTTTAGTTTTGCTGAACTTGTTTAATAGCTATACCCTCATTGTAATCTTTCAGTCCTGCTTCAAAATGCAAAAATTCTAAACAGAACAAAAAAAGTTGTTGCTATAATAATAATGCCCGGCTTAAGGAGTCACAATCTTTTATCAAACTTGTTGCTAATCCTAGCACCACCAAGTGATCTCATCTTTCATTCTGGCTGGATTCCAACATACAATTTCATTAACCCAGGTACCGCAGGTGATAAAACTCATTTTTCCCTAAAGAGACAGCTAAAAAGTACAGTTATACATTTATGAAGTACCAGCAATCAAAATTATGGATTTTCTAAAAGGTTTTTAACTACTTTTATTGAAAGGAAAATTGCTGTCTCAGACTTTTTTGACACTATTACTAATAATAAATTTTACCATTTCGACACAGCAATAATGTGGGAGATGGTGTCAATAAAAAGCATGAAACAAAGATGATCGCTGTCTCTTTAAGTAATGCCTTCTGATCAGATACCGGAAATGAACCTTAAGAGACATAAAACAAATATCTAAAACTCTCATTTATTGCAAACAACTGAGTTAGTTCCAAGAGTATACAACTTAAAACAAGATATATATATATATATATATATATATATATATATATATATATATATATATATATATATATATATATATATATATATATATATATATATATATATATATATATATATATATATATATATATATATATATATATATATATATATATATATATTTCATAGTTATCTGATCATCTAGGAAATTGACTAAAAAGAATTAGCACAATGACCACATGTATTGTTCTACAAAAATAACACTATAAAATTATCTGTAACAGCACCTCTGGATCTTTCCCTCCAAATTTTGTTTCCCAATATTATAGAGATCACTAGAGGGCAGTGTGGTATTTAGACACTCTGACCTTTGTAAGTGATGCAACTATTACTTAGGTCTTGAACTTTATTACAATGTCAGCAAGGTTAATCAGGATGCTGTAAAAATCATGACATTCAAAACTGAATTCTGATTTAACATGTTCCACATACTACGAAATAGAATGAATTAATATTTTGTTGATACTTTCTTAGGGTATAAATTATGTTGATCAACTTTCCTACATATTTGTTGTCTGCCAGCATTTAAAAGGGATGAATTTTAAAAAATCCCACCTTTAGCTAGTGGTCAGTTTGCAAAAAAAACTGGGAAAGATCATGTGCATGAAATAAATTATCATAAATATCTTTGGAAATTTCCATCCCTGCATCTTTTTCTTCTAATGTTGAATAATTTTAATCTCAACGTAGTTCAATTAAGCTTAAAGATAACTTCAGTTTAAAACTTTCTGATTTGCAGACAGCAGTCATTAATGCATTTGAAACAAGTTCTGATTTCCAGCTTTTTTTAAGCAGGTATCCTTATGCATACTTTTCTCTTTCTAAAACCACAAGCATAGTTTCTGGAATTTCATGTGGAAGTGCTTAAGGGGTTGAAAGTTAACACCTTTGTGAGCTGAGTAGCCTTGCAGTTGCTACTAAACAAAAGCCTTTTTTAGAAGCTTTCCTGAAATGTTTTCTTAACATGTTCCAAGTAGTTTTAGGCAAGCAACTAAAGTAAACAAGATGTTACCATGATAAAAACACTTGTGAAAACATTGCAGTGTGTGCCTAAAATGTTTCTTTCACACAAGCATTCCTTAGTTTTACCAGCAAGCTTCCATCTATAATTCATAAATGATTTAATGTTTGAATGTATTTCAATCATAACTGTTACTGTTCCTACAAAACTTCTCAGAATTACAAGTCCCAAACTATCAAGGTTGTATGTTGGTTATAAAGCTTACTTCCTTTTGTAAAATAATGACTTTACAATGCCTTAGTAAGGTCACACTTGGAATACTGTATCCAGTTTTGGTCACCACGATGTAAAAAAGATGCTGAGATTCTAGAAAGAGTACAGAGACAAGCAACAAAGATGATTAGGGGACTGGAGGCTAAAGCATATAAGGAACGGTTGCTGGAACTGGGTATGTCTAGTTTAACGAAGAGAAGGACGAGGGGGGACATGATAGCAGTGTTCCAATATCTCAGGGGCTGCCACAAAGAAGAGGGAGTCAAGCTATTCTCCAAGGCGCCTGAAGGCAGGACGAGAAGCAATGGATGGAAACTGATCAAGGAGAGAAGCAACCTAGAACTAAGGAGAAACTTCCTGACAGTTAGAACAATTAACCAGTGGAACAACCTGCCTCCAGAAGTGGTGAATGCTCCAACACTGGAACTTTTTAAGAAGAGACTGGATAGCCGTTTGTCTGAAATGGTGTAGGGTTCCTGCCTGGGCAGAGGGTTGGACTCGATGACCTCCAAGGTCCCTTCCAACTTTATTATTATTATTATTATTATTATTATTATTATTATTATTATTATTATTATTATTATTATTATTATTATTATTATTATTATTATTATTATTATTATTATTATTTATGTATATATGTATCACACAGTGTTATGTGTACTACTATTCTTCAAAAAAAGTGGATGTCTTTAGTTCAGGGTTCAACTGTGGAATCCTTGGTGCTCTCTGAGGTTGGTTGTTTGCCAATGTTTCATCAGTGCTAATGATGTTATCTAGTTGGGTAATGAAATGTCTGAAACAAAAAACCAAAGCTCAGAGAGCACCAAAGATTACATCATTATCTTTCCCCACCCATTTGGGGTTTTCAGCATCATTTCTGACCCTTGACATTTGACATCCAGCCATTATCATGCCAAGTAGGCAAAGTTTGCTCTGAAGAGTAGATGGCCTTATTTGATATACCAATAAGCAGGACAAAAATCACAGATAGAAAGGAATGAAAGTATTCAGAACTCCAAAGTAAGTAACTAAACTCACAGCGCTTTCCTTTATGAACAAGGAGACTCACATGCTGTATGTATGTACAACGGGCACTTTTGATGGGAACCCAGTTACAGAAGCAGGTATAGAATAGCTCATCCTACAGCTGGACACATTTAACAATATTGTCCAAAATGCCAATACAAATGTAACACAGCAATACAGACATGTTCATCCACATGTACACATGCCTATTCAGATACAATTGCATGTAGATAAATATTAATTAGATGAATGGAGTGGAGTGGAGTGGAGTGGAGTGGAGTAGAGTGGAGTAGAGTAGAGTAGAGTAGAGTAGAGTAGAGTAGAGTAGAGTAGAGTAGAGTAGAGTAGAGTAGAGTAGAGTAGAGTAGAGTAGAGTAGAGTAGAGTAGAGTAGAGTAGAGCAGAATAGAATAGAATAGAATAGAATAGAATAGAATAGAATAGAATAGAATTTCTTACTTTAAAAAAGACTGGAAGTCTTCACATACTGTTTCGCAGCCCGGCCATTTGCATACTCCATGCCCATAGAGCGGATGGCTATGACAATGTTCTTCATGGGATAAACTGAAAGAATAATTAAAAGGCGGAAGAGAGGAAACTATTATCATGTGAAACTTTGAATAAGCTTACCTTGATGTTTATCAGTACAATCAAGTAATAATACAAAAATACTGACGAATAAGCAAATCATTTTGGATCATGCAATACAGATTTAAAAGAGAACATTTCCAAACTTTATTGAGAGATTGTACATATCACATCTATGAATCAGAGGTCTTATAAAAAGTTGAAAAAAATGAAATATACTCCAAATTATGTTAAGATGCTTCAAAATTGTACCAGAGTGTTACCAGCCAAACATCGAACTTCTAAAATATGGATTACAGTATGGAAGTCAATAGCATTGTCATGGGTAATAAGAATCATTAATACATATTTTGGAGCAACATTGCTGTTTTCCGTAAGTCAAAATAAAAATGGAAGCTGAGGAAGAAGGAATCTGTCTGAATACAAAATGGTCAGGGAAATGAATCTGCTGCATTTATTATCATATTCTGAAGTATCTTTATTCAACTATGGTATGAGCAAAAGAATTTTTTTTGACAATTCCCATAATTTTAAAATGTTTTTTTATATATAAAGAAGCTTTAATTTTTTTATCTCCATTTGTTATTTTTTAACAGAAAACTATTCCCAATACCATTAAGATAAGTCAATAATTTTTGATATAAAATATACCCACAAGGACTATCTATACATGTTTTTTCCTGGAATGTTGCCTCTTACACACCAACGATCTGCAGACTTATCTCTGAACTATAACAAAGGTATATTTGCCTACAACATTGATTCAAGATGGCTCCAATAATTCATTTTGCCTTAAGCTTCTGCTGTAATTCATGTGACGACATGATAAACCTTATATTCAGGTATTATGAAATATGCTACTATTATAGTTAACATATTTAGAGTAAACTATATGGTAATTATTATAATTATCAGTCAGTGTGCTGGAGTGCAAAGAACATCAGATTTGGGCTAGAAGAAGCATGACTTAAATCTATATTAAGCTGCTGTTTGGGGTGATTACAATAACTTGGTTGAATATACTTGTGATTAATTAAAAAAAAAATAAAGGAAAGGACAGCATACATACTTGGATTCTACTGGAAACCTGGAAACCAATGTTACAGTGGAACAGCTGTATTTTTACTGTCTGAACTATAGCAAATTTATTAGTAAACAGGATGTTTGGGATGGGATTCTGGAAAGTAATAGTAATAGATTGGCTCTGGTGATTGTGTTGAAAGAGTAAACAATGTGAAATACATTTTAATAACCATTGCTATAGAAATGACTATTGGAAACAAAATAAAAGTGCATTACTGAATGAACAATCTCTAGAAAAAACAAGTGATACTTAAAAACAGGCGATACTTTTCACAGAAGGGTAAAGTTTTGATGAGCACAATATGAATTTAAGTAATTCATGAAGTTCCATTTATGTAAATAAAAATGTCTTTCAAAAACAATGCTGGGTAGATTTAGGGAAATAAAATACCTTTTTAGAATATGAAGGAAGGAAGGAAGGAAGGAAGGAAGGAAGGAAGGAAGGAAGGAAGGAAGGAAGGAAGGAAGGAAGGAAGGAAGGAAGGAAGGAAGGAAGGAAGGAAGAATATAGGTTTCTAATACATATATCAACAATTTTATAGTAAAGTTGAATGACTGATTTAAAATAAATTTCACTGGAGATGCTTTTATAACTGATGTTACTCAATCAGCTCTTCTAAACATTGAATGATCTGATTAGATTTCTTGTTATCGATTGCCCTATTGAATTATCAGGTCCTTTAGGTCAATAAAAAATGTGTAGCTATGTTCAACTCTTGCAGCTTTTACATTTTTCCATTACAACCACAAAAACTACAAGATATAGTAATTATAAGGCCAACAACTGATAAACTGCATAATTTTGCCACAATAAGTTATTTATTACTTATTTCTTAAAATGTCATTAACTTTTAATTAAAAATGCCTCCAGAAGTTGTGAATGCTCCAACACTGGAAGTTTTTAAGAAGAGACTGGACAACCATTTGTCTGAAATGGTATAGGGTTTCCTGCCTGAGCAGGGGGGTGGTTGGAGTAGATGACATCCAAGGTCCTTTCCAACATTATTATTATTATTATTATTATTATTAGTAGTAGTAGTAGTAGTAGTAGTAGTAGTAGTAGTAGTAGTAGTAGTAGTAGTAGTATTCTCCACAAATGCTGATCCTTGCCTTCCAGTATAAAATATATTAACTTTTGGAGAATCATGTATTCATTTATATTTCTGATATTTTCTATGACATTATCTAACTAAATTAAATTGAAATAACTAGCAGTCAACTTTATGTTAAAATACTCATTCAAAGAATAAGTAGTATGTATATAAGTATGTAAGAATAAGTTGTATTTCTAGTCATACTTTCAAAAATATACTTTGTAGAAATTGTGATTGTTTTGATTGATTTTTGTCAGACGCTGATAATATTACTGATCATGTCTGCCTTGAAAAAACTATGGATGAATGGATGGAAGGAAGGAAGGAAAGAAGGAAGGAAACCAGAGATAGATAAATTATATGAAAAATTGATAATAACTGGATGCAATGTGTACTCCCTTAAAGCTTTGATTCCCAAACTGGGCACTAAGCATCTTGGGATGCTGCATTGAAGTCATAGAAGAATTGCAGGATTTTACTATTTAATAAGTGGAACTGTTGCTGTGGTGCCCTATAATGCCATGCAACACAGTTTGAGACCCACAAGAGGTTCTATGGAAAAAAAAAATACTGAAGAATCAAGGGTGCCATTAACTGAGAAAGTCTGAGAACCTCTGCCTCAAATTATGAGATTCTTCAAAGTGAGCTTGACTTGGATGGGACAATGTAGATTTCTTGGCAGCAGTATAGAAGTGGCTTCCAACTGCCTTGTTTTGATTTCTGACTGCCCAGTCCAGCCTATGTCCTAGAGAACTCCTGGTGCTTTTTCAAACAAGTACCAAATACACCATACTTTTTTTCCCAAATGCCTTCAAACATGAGGAACTTGCAATAATTGACTGTGTTATATTGTGCCAAAATTGCACCAAGATTTCTTTTTACTGTCTTTAAGGAATCATAATAGAAAGCAATCAGCCATTAAGATTGATGTAGATGCATGGCTATTCAAGCATATATATGGCAAACAACAACTTCTAGTACATATAATGGAATAACTTACATCTTGTCCTACATTAAAATTCGATTATAGATGCATATCCGCTCTGAAGCGACAGGAGGAGATGGCATTAGTAGGTACCGTCTTTATTGTATCTCAATTATTTATAGGATTTGTGTTCTTTTATAAAATATAAAAAGATGGATGTTCCTGATTAAATGGGAGGCACAGAATTATAACAGTAACTATGAATTCTGTTCTTAAGGGATCTACATCAGTACCAATGTTGGTCTTAGTGCTTCTCTCCTGCAGTCAGCTTGTTTTTTGCACCGTATTTGCCTAGTTCACATAGTGAAACTATCCATGTCGGATGCTGTTTTTCATCCAGTTTGCTGTAGAACCTGACAGTCATTAGAGATGAGAGGGAGTGACTGGACTAAACTCACCCAAATGGCTTCCATGTCTAAGAGAACACAGGACCTGGAACTCCCTACTTTACTCTGTCACTTTAACTCATCTCTTGATTTGTCTCAATACAAACATTATTTGAAAACAATAAAAGGTTCATTATACTTTTGGGCAAATCTTTATAATTCTAGCAGTATCTTTAGTCTTTATTATTTGTTTTACTAATACAACCCTATCTTCCCAATAAAATTGCCTTGGCACAATCCTGAACTTGATTTAGAAACAGAACTTTGTGGTATTTTCTTATGGATTCAAACTAATCCCATTTTTTTTTAAACAGGAAAGGTAAATTTACCCCTGTAAACTCTTGCTAAAATAGTAGACATGTCTGGACAACATACTGGAATTTAGTCAGTTTATCAAGACACAGAGTACAGTTACATTGCAGAAGATCTCTTCTTCTAGTGTAATCCTTAACATTTAAACAAAGAATTTAATAATTCTAAACTGAATCATACTGAATCTACTAATCCACAGAATAGCAATTCTACATATACTTAGTACTCCACTGGGTTACTTGACATTCTATTTAGAAATGAGTAACAGAACAACAGGGTTAGTGAATAAACATGTTTTTCTCATCCATTATATTTTCTTGGTTTAGTTAACATAGGTTTCATGACAGGGAGGCCAATCTAACAGAAATTCCTACTCTACCATAACTGGTTGACTGATGCCCCTGTAAGATAATTAAGTCATCACATAGGTCTTACTCACCCTATTCAGATCCAAGCATAATCAATGCACTGAGAACATCAAGAAACAAAGAGATGGTTCTCTGTCTTCTGAAAGAGTTATGCTCTCCCAGAGCATATAGATATGTATTTTGTAGAGAGATATTCTTTTTCTGATTTTCTACATTGAAGTAACCTGCCACCACTTTTAACTGTCTGATCAATTAGGGTGGGTACTTCCTAAGTTTCTTTCTTTGACCATTAAGTCCTTCGGGACTCCTCCCTCTCATGTCTGATTGTTTCCTAGGCAGCATCTCTTTCCTTTTTCCCCAAGGTCATCCACACATTCCATTACACACTGGATAGCACTAGATTCAGACATGCTAATTTAAATGGAGACGCAAACTTTAATTACTTAATCAATGTATAAGCTGTTTCAATTGTTGCAACCACCAATTAATACAATTTCAAACACAACAGAATGAAAATAGTAACAATACAAATATAAAAAACACATACTGGGAAAGCAAGCAAACAACCTACAAACAGAGAAAGATAGTCAAATAAGTATATTGGTCTTGAACCATGAAGGACTTTATGACAATCATCTTATGAAGTTTCAAACAGCAGTCATTACCACATCTTCCCACCCTGCTTTTTTCTTAAGATGACTATATATTGCCACACATATATTCCATGAAAGCCAGTGGTGTTAATGCT